CCATTGCCGCTAGTGGTTCGACCAAGTTTTATTTTCAACCGACTGTCATCGGGGGAGTTATTCCTTTTGCTAATGCTTGTGCTCTGGTAAGCAAATAAGCATGAGTTGACAAGCCTAACAATTAAGGTGAGAAATAACCAAATTAAATCAGCATTGGAAAGAACGAGAACAAGAACTTTGCCTGATTAATCCCCAGGCCCAAAACTTCCTGGACTTGGAAAAAGAACGAAACGACATCAAAAAAGATGCCGAAGCCATGGACCAGTTTTTCCGTGAGGAGTGTGGTTTCACTTCTTACGAAGATGCCCGAACCCAATTAGACGGCCAAACTGTGTCCCAAATCCTCCAAATCTTAGCCAGTTTAAAAACTGACCTAGCCCAGCAGGAAAAACAAAACGAGCAATTAAGGACAGAATTAAATAAACCCCAGGCCCAATTATCCGATAAGGAATATAAGAATTTAGTTCAGCAATGAGAACAAGTAGCCCAATGAGCCCAGGAAGTAGGAATAGACACGAATAAAGGTTGAAGCCTGAAAACTCTAAAAAACTTCTTTCCTAATATTTCCCAAGCTAAACCCGTTTTTAACCAGTTAGAGCAATTGGTAGAAGCTGGTGGCCGAACTGATTTATTTAAGCAGAACAAAAAGCAAATCCAACAGCAATTAACCCAACTCAAAGAAATAATGTCATGGTAGAACATCCCAATTTAAATCCCCAAGAAAAAAATCCCCATAAAGGCCTCTGGAAGGCCCTTATTTTGGAGTTTTGTCATAATTACTTTATCGGCATTAGTCATTTGTCCTGCTCCCGTGCTGATTGCCCGTTAGTTTTACATTGGGACGACTTGGAAGAAAAGAACAGCAAAAAAGGCAAAAGCACTCTCATCCAAGTTAGCAAAAAAGAGCCTAAATTTCTCGTGGTTGATTTAATGGAAAACGATGAAAACGACTGGGGAGAAATAGAAAAAATAGTAATCCGTTATAAATCCGGTCGAACTCAACGAACCAAGCCCCACGACTACCAGGAGCCCCAAAACCCCGAAAAAAAGGAAATATTTTTAAACCCGGCCGAGTTGGTCTGCTTTTTCAATAATCCTACTCATACCCCTAATTTAGTCGGAGCCGAAGACATTTATTTAGAATGGTTATGAAATACCCGAGCCAAAATCCAATGGGACCAA